TATATATATATATATATATATATATAGCAGGCTCAACATATGCGTGCACTGAGCACACACGCCGAATGCAGACGCAACCTAGTCACATTTTTATATACCAGGCATCCCGGCGTGAAACATACGTAGATATATCATACATACGACATCTCAAATCGAAACATACGTGTTTTCATCTTCTATACGACATCTCAACTTGAAACATACACAGATCAATGTTTTACAACACATCCCCAACGCGAAACATACGTAGATATCGTTGTATCTGCTTTGGCAGTTTCGTTCGCCTGCACTTTAGTTCGGCTTTCCGCCACAGATGATCTCAATGTCGATGGTGTGTATTTGGGGGTGGGCGGCAGGGCCAGCTCGTTCTGGGACAAACTGTATCAGAATGGTATAGCTACTATAAGAGTTGTAGAAGCAATATCGAGTATGATATAATCCTGTACATACTAAGATATATGGGAAAAACTAGAGTATAGACTACTCCGCGTAGACTATAGTACCCCTATTGTGACTACCCTATGCTGTTTAATATCCATTTCCAGACAATTGCGATCAGCATCGGGCGCCCTTCACATCTCTGTACACTTAGGCGGCACAACAATACAATCCCTTCGTTCGCCTATACTCATCAACAACTCACCTTTCTTCCGAGACGAGCTCGTGGTATGTAGGCAGATCGCCTTGTGAAAGTAGCATATTTGTTTTGGGATCTGTACTTGTCTCCGGATCAGAATCGGCCTTTGATTTCTCGTCCGTGGCGCGCTGCCAGAACGTAAGAACATGCCACTTAGTTCACACAAAACAGGACAATTTGAGTCCCATTGGTGTACACAAATGTGGGAATTGGGGCGGCCTGCGAACTAATGATCATTCTGATTGGTTCGTTCTTGGTAAGGGCTAATACACACTAATACGTTTCTTGAGATGACGCAAACGATCCATGTAGTACGTAGAACAACATACAATGTCATCTAGAGTATGGCTAGCATGGGAATGACGTGAGTTTATAGTATTTCTTACACACGTGAAATAGAACACTTTCCAAGGGATATATGTAAAACAATGCAATATTGTGTGTGTGTGTGTGTGTGTGTGTTTGTGTGTGTGTGTGTGTTCATATATATATATATATGTGTGTGTGTGTGTGTGTGTGTGTATGTGTGTGTGTGTGTGTGTAT